TGGTTGATCCAACAATCTCACGTCTAAGCATCTACCCAAGACTAAGATCTCCAAAAGTGAACAGACACAGAAAGTCACTCACCATGGCATTATGTCACTATAACATGGACCTGAATGACACATGCCCCCAGAAGCCGGTATGTTGATGGCTTGGTCTTAGCTCATGCTTTGCTTCTTCCACTATGAACGAGTCTGGATTTTACCACGGGGTAAGGCAGTCACAAGTAAATTGTTTTGGTTGTCAAGATATTTTATTTTGTCTTTAACTTTTTTTTTTTTTTTCGAGACAGGGTTTCTCTGTGTAGCCCTGGCTGTCCTGGAACTCACTCTGTAGACCAGGCTGGCCTCGAACTCAGAAATATGCCTGCCTCTGCCTCCCAAGTGCTGGGATTAAAGGCGTGTGCCACCACCACCCAGCTGTCTTTAACTTTTTTTTTTCAATTATAAACCAGGTGTGGTGGGACATGCCTTTAATCCCAGCTCTCTGAAGGCAGAGGCAGATGAATCTTTAGGAGTTCAAGGCCAGCCTGGTCTACATAGTGAGCTCCAGGACAGCCATGGCTATGTAGAGAGACCCTGTCTCAACTCTTCCCCCCACCCCACACCTCATTTTAAAAAACTATGATTTATTCTATGCCTAGGAATGTTTTGCCTGCACACATATATGTGCACCTCACATGTGTCTGGTGCCTGCAGATGCCTAGGGAACGGAGTCGCAGACAGTTGTGAGCTGCCATGTAGGTGCTAAGAATTGAACCTGGGTCCTCTGGAGGAGCAGACAGTGCTCTTAACTGCTTAGCCATCTCTCCAGCTCCATTGTCTGTCTTTAGGAGGTGACAGAGTTGACACCTTTTGTATCCCCAGTTGACTCTTGGCAACTGATGAATTTGGGAGATGGAGAGATACTTGCAGGCTGGTGAGGTGGCTCAGCAGGTAAAGGCATTTGCTGTCCAGCCTGAGGACTTCAGTCAGATCCCTCATGACGGAGGGAGAGAACCAACTTCTATATGTTTTCAACGTGTGCACAATAGCACGTACACTCATAAACTCTGTCACACACATACTCGCTCCCTTCCTCTCTGTCTTAATAAAAAAAAATATTTTTTAAACAAAGGTTTGCACAGAAGTTTCTGGTGCTTGCGTTCTCAGTTCTTTCTCTGTGTTCCCCCAGAGCTAGGCGATTGGAAGGATCTGACATGATGTGCCTCCCAGTGTGGTGTGATGGGAGGTCCCCACCTCTCCCTGATAATATTCCTACCTGAAACACTTTAAACATAACTTGATCTGTGGTGCCTGAGGCCAGAGGGTTGTGAATTCTGGGCCAGTTAGGGCTACACAAGACTTGTCTCAAAAACAACCAGAGACAAGTGGGGGAAAGGTTAGGACTGATATTTGACTGTAGCCTAGAAATTATTCGTTTTTTGAGCCAAGATTTCTCTGTATAGCCCTGACTGTTCTGGAATTTACTCTGTAGATCAGATTGGCCTCAAACTCAGAGATCTGCCTGCCTCTGCCTCCTTAGTGCTATGATTAAAGGTGTGTGCCACCATCCCAGGCATGAGGTAAGACATCTAGAAAACAAGCATCTGGTTTTCTGTTGCCGTAGTGGAGGGACAGTGACTTTACTAAGTAGAGCCAAAGGAGACAGCTGTTTCTCCCATAGATTTTGAGGCAGGTGCTCTTTTGGTGCCATTGTCCCCTGTACTTCTAGAAGAGTCTGTTGCTGCTGTCTCTGAACTTCGGGAGGAGCCTGTCGAGAAGTTTTACAGTTTCCAAAATGTCGCTGTTTTTGTCTCCTTTTTTGTCCTCGTGGACGTATGCTTCTTTAAAGCACTTTAATGGCATTTTATTGGGCTTTCAGGAAACAGCTTGAGGAGAGAGTGTGTACGATCAATTGATCAATCAACGCCTTTACTGGCAGTCAGCCCAATGTTCTTTAGTGTCTTTCCCCCCATTTACCAGTTTGCAAGTTCTCCTTTCTTTCTACTCATTCGATGGATTCTCTTTAAAACCTTTATAATGCTGCCTGACGTAAAAAGGAAGAGACGATCAATATTGCTGTCTTCTCCCTGGATAAAGCAAGACTGCAGAACACTTTCACTTTGATCTGTCCTTTTTCCATTTTCTACATTATTTTGGTTTAATATTTTAGCTCCCCATTGTTCAAAGGAGTCCCAGCATCAATATGGTGCATCTTTTATCAACCCTGCCTCCGTGGTGCTTACAGATCCACGCACTAAGAACACCGTAGTACATTAGATATAGTACATTACATATGAATAGAACTTGTTAGGTAGAACTACATGAAATTGGCCAACATTTGATCACTTTTTTAGTTATCAAGACTGATTTCATTTACACAGATCACAAAACAAATACATACATACTTCCAGTCATCCTAAACCCTTCCACACTGATGCTCCAAGGTGCTGGCAGACAAGAAAGCACAACTATGTCTTGCATTCACCCCTCCCATATGTCTAGGTTCAGCCAGAAAAACAGAAGCCACTCCGTGTGCTTCAAGCACAAAGTCTTCTGTGCAGAGATGAAGTGTTGTCACAGTCAGGGGCCGACCTGAGAGACAGCTCAGCAGGTTAGAGCGTGGGCTGCTTTTGCAGAGGGTCTAGGTTCAGGTCCTAGCTCTCACAGTGGTCGGCTCATAACTGCCTGTAACTCCAGTTCCAGGGGCTCTGATACCCTCTTCTGGCCTCCTGAGGCACCCCCCACCCCACAGACACATATATACAGATATTTAAAAGCAATCTTTTAAAAAGAAAAAAAAAACAAACAAAATTTAAGACTAGCTGATACAGTAACTCTGGACCGGAAGTTTACTAAAACACATTGTAATATAGGCTAAGGCATGAATATTAGGAGAAATAAATGTTCAGAAAAGTGTGAGACGTGTCAGGTGTGGGCTCCTCAAGAGACGAGTGGTCCACTGCTTTTACAGTAGTCATACATAGGACTTGGGTGAGGCTTGACATTATTATCTTATCAATGGGTATCAGGGTACCTGATAGTATAATAACCCATTAAAAAGTCGAGTCCGTAGGGGATATAATAAAGTAGGGTACCTTTGTTGTAAACAGTGTTGTTTGAGATTTTCAGGCAGTGTCTGGGGAAAGCAAGGAGTCCCTGCCTGAGATTCTATATCCATGTCTGTTTTAACATAAAGCATCTCTATATGAAAGGAATAGTAGCTATGTCGCCAGCCTTTATAGTGAATGAAAATATAAAAAAAAAAAAAAAAAAAAGCAAAGGAAAGGAACACGACTGCTCCTAGCGATGGTGGAGGAGACAGCTCATTGTAGATGTGCGGGAGAGCAGCGCCAGAGGCGAGGACATCTGGGAGAGTCTAGACAGACCAGACTGAGCTAGCCCATATGGGGAGAGGGGGAGGGGGAAGGGGAGAGGGGGTGAGAAAAGAGGGGGTGCAGCCAGGAGGCCCAAAGGTACAAAGAAAGTGGGTAACCAAAATGGTTAGATTATTTAGGGTAGTGCAGCACTGGCTCCCTGGGCTGGAGCTTAGGGTAGGAGGTGGTGTAAGCCAGCCGGGAGGGCCCTGAGCAGTGGTGTGGCCGCCAGGTCCCCTTTGATATGTTAAATAGGCACTTCTGCCTTCTGTTCCAGTTTTGAAACCTAACGTCTAGCAACTGGTAGGTATTCTTGCTTAGGTGAGAGGCTCCATTCTGATTCTAGAATGAGTTCCTGTCCTCTTTTAAGTCCCTGCAATTTCCCCTGTCTCAGGATTTCAAGCGAACGCCTGTAATCCCGTTTTATGTGGTGTTGGGGATCAATCTCTGGGCTTTGCGTATTCTAGTAAGTACAGCCCTTTTTTAGTGACTCAGGTGCTGGGGTGGAGTGCTAAGTTCTGCGGCTTCTTTTTCTTTTCTTAGTTTTGTCATTTGAGACAGGACCTTCTGCTGCAGCCCAGACTGGCCTCAAATTTATAATCCTCCTGCCTCAGTCTCCCCAGTGCTGTGACGATAGGCATACACCCTCATGCCCGGTACATGTGCCTGAGAGGTTAAGTGGCTCAGGGAGGGGTGAGGTTTTGTGTGGAGACATGGGATGTGGCTGGCACACAGGGTCACGGTGAAGGGTGGAGAGAAGAATCGGAACTGTGGCTGTAGAAAGTTCTGAATGCAATCGAGGAGAAAAGCGACCGAGACCCTGTGTGGGTGGAGGCAGGGGGACTGACTGAAGGTTGGGGGCATTTAAGGGAAAGGATGCATCCTCCTTTACAAGCCTCCTCCTGTGCAAGCCGATGGAGGAAGCTTATCATAAGAGAAACATCTGGGCTTCCAGGCTTCCCTCCTCAGAAGCCCAGGGCGGGGTGGAGCCCAGCCTTTCCTGTGGGAGAAGACTCCTGAGGGGACTAACCCCTGACATCCAAAGTCCCTGACCCAGATGCAGCTTGCCTATCCTTCTTCAACAGGACCTGGCTTCTCCAGCTCAATCCTGGAGAGAGAGGAGGGTTTGTAACCTTATAAATCCTGGCTCTTCTCAGGCTGTCACAGTGGCCATGGTGGGACAGGTAAGGCCAGCCCAGGCTCTAGCCAGTCCTGGACACTGTTCCTCTGGCTGGAGTGCAGAAGATGCTGGAGAGTTGAGTAAAGGCAGGGCCCTCAGTGTCTACTGGCAAGCCAGTCAGCAAGTAAGAGGGGGAATGCTGGTCACAGGATGTGGGGGGTGAGTTCTGCCTACTCTTAGTAAAGGCTCCAGGGAGCCACATATCTACTGGGACAGCCTCCTGAGGCTAGGGAGCTTATTAACCCCGACAGCGCCAGGGGATGAGAAAAGGTGAGTGTGCTAGTAGCCAGCTGGGGTCATCCTTCTTTGACCCTCCACGTGGTGTTTGTTCAGAGGAATTGTTGTCAGACTCCCTGGCGCCTACAGTATAAAGCAGAATGTTGGTTCTCTCTGTGGCCAGAACTGAGCAGGTGAGCTTGCATGGCACAGGGGTGGGGTGGGGGTGGGGTGGCTGCAATGGTACTGGTACGAGAGAGCTGCAGATTCGGGCTAGCCAAAAACCTACCACGTTGTGTATGCCGGTTCTTAGCCTTAAAATGGGCTCGGAGGCAGGAAGACAGGCAAACAAGGGAGCTAGACTGCTTTGAAGTGGATGGGGAATCTCTGTAGGGCAGCCTGAGTTCCAGGCTCCCTACTTTGTGACAGAGATAAGGAGCAACCCACCCCTGTTGTCTGAGGAAGACATCTCTTCCCTCTAGCCCCACTCCCAACCCCCCTAAGTACCTAGTTAAGTCCTCTAGAGCTTTCAACATGATGTCACCTACACATCGGGAAGCATTATCAGGATTTGGGGCAGGCAGCCCCTAGAGCAGGCTTCCTAGATCTAGTCCCTTGCTTTGCCTCTCCTCCTGATCAAGCCTCCACCTACCTTCCTTCTCAGGGTTCATCATGGAAAGCATGGCTGCAGTCATCACTTGGGTCCTCGCCCTCCTCTCAGGTGGGTCTTCCGGCTGACTTCAGCGTGGGCTTGGGATGGAGGATGGTTTTGAGGGGCCTGGTCCTTAATTGTCTCATCTTTCTTTGCAGTGTTTGCAACCACTCAGGCACGGAAGAGCTTCTGGGACTACTTAGGCCAGAACAGCCAGGGCAAAGGCATGATAGGCCAGCAGCAGAAGCTGGGACAGGAGTAAGTAGCCTGGGCAAGGGTGTGGTGAGGGTATGAGACAGCCCTACTGTGGAATGATTCCTTGGCTCTGTGGTGAACACGAAAGCTGACGGAGGCAGCTCTGCTTACACTACCAAACACACCCCAGTCATCTTGGGCACCCTCTGCCCAAGTCTCTTCTGCCCTGTGGCTCCACTGGGGTATGGCACCTGAGATTAGCATGCCACAGAATGACAAGATGGTGTGAATCTTGGCATGTGGGTGACACCTTCTTGGATGGTGTAGTAGAGCTAAATGCCATTTTGTGCTCTGAATGTACCAATGCAGTTGGCTGGGGTCACAACTAAAGACCCTGACTCTGGGGCCACTCCTCTTGCCCTGGCTTCTGCAGAGCATTGGTGACCCACAGCTCTGTGACATGGGAGATTTCAAGGCTAGCAGTCTAATGGTCTGGTTCTCTGTCCTCCTTCTCCAGGAGCCTGAAAGGTAGCTTTGAGCAAGACCTCTACAATATGAACAATTTTCTAGAAAAGCTGGGTCCCTTGAGAGGGCCTGGGAAGGAGCCTCCTCAGCTGGCACAGGATCCAGACGGTATTCGGAAACAGCTGCAGCAGGAGCTGGGGGAAGTGAGTGCACGCCTGGAGCCCTACATGGCTGCGAAGCACCAGCAGGTAGGCTGGAACTTGGAGGGCTTGAGGCGGCAGTTGAAACCCTACACGGTGGAGCTGCTAGAGCAGGTGGGCCAGAGCGTCCAGGAGCTCCAAGAGCAGCTTCGTGTGGTGGGAGAAGACACCAAGGCCCAGCTCCTGGGGGGCGTGGACGAGGCGCTGAACCTGCTGCAGGAAATGCAAAGTCGAGTGCTGCACCATACAGACCGAGTCAAAGAGCTCTTCCACCCTTATGCGGAACGCTTGGTGACTGGAATTGGGCACCACGTGCAGGAGCTGCACCGGAGCGTCGCTCCTCACGCGGTTGCCAGCCCCACGCGACTCAGTCGCTGCGTGCAGACCCTGTCCCACAAACTCACAGTGAAGGCGAAGGACCTGCACACCAGCATCCAGCGCAACCTGGACCAGCTGCGTGATGAGCTCAGTGCCTTCATCCGAGTTGGCACGGACGGGGCAGAAGACGGAGACTCCCTGGACCCTCAGGCTCTCTCTGAGGAGGTCCGCCAGAGACTTCAGGCTTTTCGACAGGACACCTTCCTGCAGATTGCTGCATTCACCCAGGCCATTGACCAGGAGACAGAGGAAATCCAACACCAGCTAGCACCACCCCCACCTAGCCACAATGCCTTCGCTCCTGAGCTGCGACACTCAGACAGTAATAAGGCCCTGAGCAGACTGCAGAGCCGACTAGATGACCTGTGGGAAGATATCGCCTATGGCCTTCATGACCAGGGCCATAGTCATCTGGGTGACCCTGAAGGTCACTCAGGTTAACTCTCCAGCTCATTGTCTGGACCCTGGCCAATTAGGTAGAGGGTGGAGGGTCCTGCACACTATAGGTGAAGCCACCGAAGGTGCTGCTGTCCCAACCTATCCAGCCTCCTCAACTGCCCCACTCAGGTGCATTACACTCAGTAGGTTTTGCAAACCCAGCTTCTGGTGCTCATTGGGACCTCTAAGTAGCAAGAGTGGGGTGAAGGGAGTGGGGAGATGGGTGTGTGAGGGGGACTGACTGCAAGCCAGTACCTGACCGTGCTGGAAACCTGTGCCACTACAACCTGGGGTCTGGCTCCTGTTACTTCTTGCTGCATGATGGTCACTGTTACCGTGGGTCCATGGAGAGGAACTCGTATCTCTCCAGGGTTGTCATGAGAGCTTTTGTTGGAAGAGAGGAGGAGGAGATGCAGAGATCATATGATGGAGTGTGTACATCCCTGGCGGTGGTCCTGCTGCTGGGTCAGTGATGGGATGGATGTGTACGTCCCTGGCGGTGGTCCTGCTGCTGGGTCAGTGATGGGATGGGTGTGTACGTCCCTGGCGGTGGTCCTGCTGCTGGGTCAGTGATGGGATGGAGTGTGTACGTCCCTGGCGGTGGTCCTGCTGCTGGGTCAGTGATGGGA